CAAGGCCACTGCTGGGACTGAAAGAGGCCGGCCCCTTCAGCCCCGTCTCCCAGCCCCGGTGAGAGTTCAGTGGAAGGCGGCTGCTGTGGTCCCTGACGGTCCTGCTGCAGGGTCAGGCGTGCTCAGGGGAGGCCTTGCTGAGTCCACACGACTCGTGCCAGCTCAGCTCAGCATCTGCACTGTGGACTCATGGCAGGTGGATTTATCTTTGTGACCCTCAGGAAAACGTGGCATTTTTCAGTGGTGCACTTCTCTGTGATGTACAGGTTTGTGGGTTCATGCACTTCAGTCCGTGGTTGCTGACTGCCCGTGGCGTGGCGGACAGTAAACAAAGCTGTGTGACTTGTAGCTAACTTCTTGCTGTGTGACAAGCCCATGTGGTTTTCCCGGCCTTGCACTGAGTAGTTGGACACTTGGATCCCTAAGTCTAACCCTGGTGCTCGCTGTCTTTGTTTGTGTGCCAGTAGGTGCAGGCCACCCCTTTGCCTGCCCGGTGGTTGGTGCTCACGCGGTACTCACCTCATTCATCACTGTGACCAGCACCGGCGGCCCTGAACCTCGGGTGCGGGCATGGCGTCATTGTTGATAAAATACTTTCCAGATGAGGTTTGACTTTCTGTTTTGTTAAACAAGGTCAACAGGAGAGTAGAATGAAGAGCTGGTTGCTGCTATGAAAAGACACAACTGAACATTTTTAAATGAAGTGATTTGGATGTTATTTTCATATTTCAGAGAATCACAGAGAAAGGCCTCGAATAATAATTAACAAGGTCTTCTATCTCAAAACTGAGCTTGGCCCACCAGCCTGTGAGCGAGGGTTAGCTACCCAGTTTCAAACCCCTCAGATTAGGAGAATACTGACCTCCTGGGGCCTGTCGCTGCTCCCTGTCCTCTCTCTGGCTGTCAGCCACTCCTGTGCTCGGTAACATGGACGGGTTATCAGCACCCTCGGGGGCACACTTCATGCCTGCAGGAGATGAGCCACCTGGATGTACAGAACTGTGCCCAGATGCTCTGCGAGGGCCCTCCTCCTGACCAGCGTGATCCCTGTGTACCCCCCTCTGCTGTAACCCAGCCAGTCGGAGTCACCTCCACTCACTCGTCTCAGCCCGGCACCTGCCAGCTTCCTTCTAGCCAGATTCCGTGCGCACCCCTGACCCCCGCCTCCCCTTCCTCTTCCTCTGGTGCAGTCCTCGCCGGTCCAGGGTAATCCCCGTCTTCATTAGGATGCCCAGGTCCTCATCAGCCTCAGCAGCTCTGGGATCTCCTTCTTTTAGGTCTCAGCCATCTCTTCCAGACAGACACTGGGGTTGTTCACTGTCTTCTCAGTGACCGAGAGACCACGCCCCTCCATATACGTGGAAGGGCCGATGCCCAGGAGCCGGGACAGACACACCCGAGCTGCCCTCGACAGAGAACAAGCCCTCGTGCAGGTCATGAGCAGGCTGCCCCTGCCTTGAGTTTCGTCCTCCCCAGAGGAGCTAAAATGCAAGGCTTTCAAACTTAGACCCTAGCTCGTGGCACGTGTTAAGGCAGCATCTGAACAGAGCTCCTCAGTGAGTGTCCCTTGGAGAGGCCCTCAGAGACAGAAGCCTGCAGCCAGGCAGGAGTGTGGGCCTCCACGTCGCTGAGCAACAAGCAGAGATTACATTGTTTGGGAGTCTTGCTCCAAGGTGGGGGTAGGGAACTCATTCTCCTAAACAACTTGGGTTGTTTCCCCAGAGAAAAAGTCACATTTCTGTTGGCAAACTAGGAGGCTATTTTAGGTTCAAATTTAAGGAATTAAATATTTTCCAGAGCAAGAACCTTTAGCTATGTAGCCAGTAAGTCACATGTTCTGGTGACGCACTGAATTTAACTGGTCTCTCGGCGACGCGGACTGGGCAAGACTCGGTGCCTGGGAAGGGGCTGGAGATGGTCGGATGGATGTTCCGCTCAGAATAGAAAAACAGAAACCTGTATTAGATTGATCATCAAAATCCCAGCTTCTTTATGAAGTCATCATAGACTTGTTAGTAAACTGCTGGATATGGAAATTTCCATAAACAGCTGCTTTTCTTCACTGGTAAGTTAGAAAGCATAAAAATGAAAAGTGTCTTCTATCAGATTAGAGAGCTGGAGAATTTTCTCATTGCTCTTGGATCTTAACAGTTTTAGGCAAATACCATGTGCAGTGAGCCATGCTGAAGCACTGGGTCCCCTTCCGAGTCGGTTCCAGGCAGATCCCCGAATAGGAAAATGCACACAGAAGTGGATGGGATGTAGCTAATCCAGATAGTCATCGGTCTTTAAGGCAACATATTTAGAAACTACATTATTCATCATCGTTACATGGGCAGTAAGGTGCTGAATTGTCGGTGATGTTGGTAATGTAACTATTTTCGTTGTGCTGTGACTATTTCTGACAGACATCTGCCCACTGGTGTTGGCGTTGCTGTGGTTACACCACTCTGAAAACACCAGTTGTCTCCAATAATAGTACCTAACTCTATGGTCATTAAGATGATTAAATGAGATGATGCATTTCCAGTCTTAGAGAAGCCCCTGGTGATAAGTAATGTGAGAAAACTGCCTCTTCCGATGACCACTGCAGGTTACTAAACCGGAATTTCTACCAACCCGTTTCCTCTCAATACTAAGGGACAGTTTGTTTGTACTATTTGCATATTGAAACGATGAGCCCTAAGCATAGACTTGCTTTAAGGTCACCCATGTTCATCTGATTACTCTGATCAACCAAATGTATCATCCACGAGTCTGTACCCTTCAAGCCCAGCTTATTTCCTACAAATAAGTACATCCACGACTCCCAGTGTTGTTTTCCTCATCTCCGTAAATGTCATTTGTCCATCCACTTGCCCACACCAGAGCTTGGGAGTCATCCTTGACTGGGCCTCCCCCCCCCCCCCCAGCTGCTCCATCAGGTTCTATCATTTCCACCTCAGAAGAGATGTCTTCGTCCACAACCTCCCACCCCAACACTCTGCACCCTCACCTAAGCCACCGTCACCTCTTGTCTACACAAATGCAGTGGCTTCCTGAGCAGTTTTCTGATTTCCACTCAGACTTGTCTTCCCACCCATGTTCACTCAGCAGTCCAGGTAGAATTTTTGAAACAAAAATGAGACCATGTCTTACCCTGACTTAAAACTCTTCTGTGATTTCCCATTGCCTGCAGAAAGGAACCCAAATACATTGTTACGACCTGTGAGCTCTGCATGGCCCGGGGCGCCCTCTCCTCTCCAGCCAGTTTCTTTCACAGCGAGCAGGTCCTTGCCTGTGTCGTCACCTGAGGTTGCTGTGCTCCCTCACTGGTCGATAAACTGTATGAGGAAGAGGGGTCGCTCGGTCCTATTCATCACTATAGCCCAACACACTGCATAATTCCTCGGATCTAGTAGGTGCTCAATGAATGTTTGCTGAATAAACAAACGAACTCACCCTAAAGTCTAATTGTGCCTTTCTATTATTTTCTTGTCAAAGTCACATTTATAAATATTAAAATTAGTCCTGGCATAGGGAGTAGCGGTGCAAGTCGGTGGGTCGCTGGGGCAGAGGTTTCCAGGGACTCGCCCCGACAGCCCCCAGAGGCCCACGCCAGGTCCTGACACACATCAAACACTGCGTGGAAGGGTGGGCATTCTGGTTTTGCATAGACACTCAAAGTGGGCACCTTCCTTCCACACCTTCTCTGTTAAGATTTCCAGAATGCTCCAAATCATAGCACTCAGAGGGGGAGAGCCAGAGTGAAAACAGCATCCATCTCCTGGAGACGAAAGTTACAGCCGAGCCTGTCAACATACGTATTTAAATCTCTCTGTCAGCACTATTGGAATTTTTATAATGGCTCTTGTTGACTGGGAAAGCATGTCTGGCAAGTTTATGAATGGTGTAACTTGGTGCATGCTTGGTTGGCAGTAGTGGTTAAATTGATATTAGGCTCCATAATTTACATGGTGCTATTTATCTATGAGACATAACAGGGCACTTTAGTAATTTAACAAAATCTCAAGTTTAGTGGAGGAAATAAGAAATACTGAATAGAAGGAAGGAACACTTGAAATCTGTTTTCATCGTATTTTCCCCTTTTTTCGTCATTCTTAAACTCATTTTCCTCTAAAAAGGCAGGAATGTTCTATTGGGAAATAACGTGTCTTACAATCCTGGCCCGCTAGCTTGCGAGCCCAGGGGTGGTGACTTCTGTCATGGCTAATACTGCAGTGCACTCGCTGGGCAGTCTCTTGCCTGTTCTACACGAAGCTGTCGTATCAAATTTTTGTCCTGACTCCACGGGCACTTTGATTCCTAAACCTTTCTGAGAAACCTAATCTGAAATCAAAGTCAAGTTTCTTAGATGTGGTCAGACAAGGTCACATTTAAAACAGTTCAGCGAACTGCAGACCCAAGTTGAAAGGTGATGCCTCCCTCCTGAAATTGGCAGGCGTACCTGCCAGCTTACCTTTCAGTTCCTAGTGCGCCTCTTTCCCAGTGGACTGGGAAAATGAGAGCTTATCCTCTGAGAAATGGTGAAGAATTTCCTTAAGTCATTTAATTAGGAAATTGGACACAGTTGTAGTTTGGAAATGCAACTTTATCCAAATCGGTGACTCACGAGGCATTTTGGTGACGGACTGTCTCGGTCAGAGATTACATGAAGTGAGATATGAAAAGAAGTTTGTATTCATAGTAGGAGTCCTTTAAATCAGAATTGCATGGTAATTTCAGGTCTGTGGGCTTCTTTGTTGACCTAAATTATCAAGATTTGTCCAGTCTCCTGAGTGACCCAAAGCACTCCACAGGCTTGCTGCCCTAACACTGCAGATTCTTCCCCCATCTGCCTTCCTCCCATTTGCGCTTGGACACGACCCACAGCGACGCTGGGAAGGGGGACGGTGACTTGTTAGGCATGCTCGTAACATCTCACCGCACAGGTTTTTGTCAAACTCCATGTGATTTTAAAAAAAACCAAACAACAACCTTGCCATTGCTTTATATTTCAGTGTTCTGTCTCTTGTGGTCGAGGGCATAAACAACGCAATGTTTACTGCATGGCAAAAGATGGAATCCATTTAGAAAGTGATTACTGTAAACACCTTGCTAAGCCCAGTGGGCACCGAGAGTGCCGAGGAGGAAGATGCCCCAAGTGGAAGGCTGGCGCCTGGAGTCAGGTGAGCAATGCTTCCCCCCGTGACCTCCTTACCTTCGGGCACCTGGCACGCGGCGTGTCGGTTTCTCAGGGGAGCTCGGGGACTGGGAGGGAGGACTCTGTGGCAGGATACTTACTGGCTGTGGGACCCTGGGCGAGAGGCTTGAGCCCTGGGCACTTTGAATAACCCCTGCAGTAGGGTGGTGGTGAGGGCTGATTCTGAGTAGGAGCAGGCAGACGTCCGAAGCCTAGCGCAGAGCAGCTCCTCCATGCTTCGTTGACGGCATTTGTACCATCAGTCACCACTTGGAAAACCACCGAGCCTGCAGTGAGGTTGGAGTTACCTGGCAGGAGCTGAGTCTGAATGGACCGGGAGGTTCTTAAAGAGGGGCTGTCGTAGAAAGTGGTGGAGACTATTTCTCTGCCCATTTGCTCGGATACAAAAGAGGAAGGGTAGTTCTCTCTCTAGTTTTTGACCTGGGTGGTTTCTTTAACCTTCCTGAGCCTACTTCCTATAGTTCTTGGGAGGACTGAATGCAGCAGCGAGCGCCATGTGCTGATCTCACGGGCTCTCGAGAACAGTAGTTTGATGGGATGAGTGTGATGCGTGTATGGGGGTAGTACCCAAGAAGCGGATTATAGGTAAACTCCGCTAATTCTAGACTTTGGGCAATATAGTCAGAAACTGGGTGTGAGAGTTTCGCTGTTGAATTCAATGAACAACTCCCCAAACATCTATCTACTGTGAACAGCGGACAGGTGGATTGGTCACTGGCATCTCGTCCTTCTACACTTGTGCATTTTCTCAGCATGGTTGGAGGTGCTGACTGAAAACTAAAAGGCCGAATGTCTTTTCACATGTTTTGTGTTTACTGCTGCTGCTGCTTCCATTGCTTTGATTCAAGGAGGTCTGAGTGAATTTGTGGCTCTCCTGTGCAGCGGAGAACCGTGCAGATTCTCCTGGGAATCAATAAAAAACTAGTTTCAAGGTTGGCAGCCTTTAGATTGATTCCTTTGGAGCCTGTGTCTTGATCCCTAAGGCCCCAAAGAAGCACTGGGCGTCTACACTAAGACGGGGAGGAGTTGAGAATCCCCCCTTTCTACACAGCTCATAGAAAATTCCTCTAGCCTGGCCGGTGTGGCTCAGAGGATTGAGTGTCCTCCCATGAGCTGAGAGGTCCGGGTTCGATTTCTGGTAGGGGCACATGTCCAGGTGTGGGCTCGATCTCCAGTAGGGGGCGTGCAAGAGGCAGCCAATCCATGTACCGCACATTGATATTTCTCTCTCCCTTCCTCTCTCTCTAAAAAACGAAAACAAAAAAATAATAAAACATATTTTTTTAAAAAAGGAAATTCCTCTAGAAATGTGAATTTTTCTTATATGCTCTGAGCTGGCATCTTTGTCCCCAATACCTCCCAGCCCTGTTTCACGTCCCTGGAAGTTCCCCAGCAGAGGAGTCTGATCCCTCTCAAGGTTCTTACCATAATGACCATGTTTTGTTTGGGGTTTTGTTTTCACTTAGCTCTCAAAGCACCTGTGCCCCACCAGAACTAGTTCCTTCTTCAGTTTCCTTAGGGGATGCGATGTCAAGGCTCTGTCTCCTACTCGTCTTCTTTAATGGTTGTCGAAGTGACTACTGTCATCTCCCACTTCTAGGCCTTTTATTTTAGGAGAGTCAATTCATGTAGCTAACGTTATTTAAGAAACCATGCTCATTAACCTGTCCTCTTGTAGACTTTCACGCTGTTACTTTTATGTTTGTTTTTCTCAACTTATCCATTTGCATCTTGCCCTGAAAATTAAGTTCAGAGCATGTAAAATGAGGTGCTTTTTAAACTCCAGTTCATTCAATAAAAAGACAATTAAAAGAATCTTTTTTCCTTCATTGGTAAACACAGTGTGAGTTTTACTTCAGTGTCCCCTGATCTTGATGGGACTCTTGAGATTGTTCCCAAAGCTGTGATGATTAGGTCCGAACCCTGGGGGTTTGCTCGAACGTAAGGTAATAGGATTACCAGAATGCCTCCTCAGAAAATGCCTCACCTGTTCAAAGTGATGGCTTAGAAAAGTTGAGTTACCCTTGTAGAAGATGCAAGTACACACAGATACGTAATGGTCTGTGGCCAGCTTTAGAATGTCCTGATTTGATTTGTAGAAAAGAATTATAAGAGCAGGCGAGACAAGGTACTGCATAGATAAACCCAATTTGTGCAGTTAGATGTGTGCCTGAAAACAATCAGACCCATGGCTGATGGAGGTGGTCTGCGTGATTACAGATTATTGGTTCACTAGTGACCCTGTGGTAAACAGAAATATCCCTAAGGCGGCGATATTCAAGCAAGAGTAATGACTATCCATTTGCAACAAATTTAGAAGATTTTGTATCTGGTCCCTTTGTTTTCTGCTGGTAGCTATTTTCTGGTCATCTCATCTTCAAGGTAGGAAGAATAATTCGTGCAATTTCTCATCATGTCAAAATGCCTGATGATAATAAGTCATAGAGAATATTGAGATAGGAGACTAGGGTAGCTGTACTAATTAATCTTCATGGTTTCTCCCTCAAACTTGGTGTTTTGAGGTTTAAAGTAGAATGTTTTATGCAACCTACATCATTTGAAAGTCTTGAAATTGTAAAGGAAATTTCTCCAAAGAAAGGAATGCTTTTCTTGGAAAATATCCTCCCTATAGTTTTAAAGCATTTTTTTCAAAAGATCATGTTTAGTTTGTTTAGATGATTTTCATCAAGAGCTCAAGTTAGATGCCTATGAAATTTTAAGACAAAAATCAACATCAAATTCCTGATTCAGCCTGATAAATGTGAAAGATCTGTTTTGTCACAATACAAAAGCATTCCAGAGTGATTTTTTTTTTAACCTTATCCTATTCCTATCACAAGGCTTTATAAAATATGAGGATTAGAAGTGAAAAAAATAAATAATCAAATTAGAATTTATCAATCATGAATTCATTCAATGGGTGCATTCTTGTCTTTTTCACGCTTTACCACCTCGGTGGCCAGGATGGGCCTGACAATCAGTGGAATGCCACGACGTAATTAATAGCCCTCGTTACCTTTCTTACTGCTACAAAACCTAACACCATACTTGCAATCAGTGGTGTCTTAGATTCAGGGAAATAACTCATTTTTTCCAGCTCTTCAATGCTAATGCCCAAATAAAAACTGGAGATTGCATTATGGATTCCAGCCACGTTGGGTTAGGACTTTGGTCATAACTACAACGAGAACAGCTTGGTGTCAGATTCTGAAGTATTCTGCAAGTGTTTGAGGGAGAAACATGGCAAATATGGAGCTTGTGTCTTTTGAGAAATCAAGGAAACCACATGTATATGGTCAGCGCTAGAGACCGACGTGTGCTCTCATAACTGCTCACATTTGAACCGTCGGGTGATGTCGAGTTGTCTGAATACAGGCGTCTCACCCGAACTCTGGCTGAAGGCTGAAGACAGCCCCCTGTGAGCGCCATGCTTTGAAGCTGGGAGCCACACCCTAACGCACAGCACTATAGTCAGTATATTGCCAGGGACAGAATTTACTTGACTGTTGTTTTGTTGTGTTTTTCTTTTTCCTTGTTTTTGCTTACAGTAGAGTGATTATATCTGTTCTTTGCTTAATTTATTTGTGGAGTATGTGCCTAAAAGGTTTACTGAAAAATGCAAAAGGAATTTTATGTAAACTGCTCAGCATAGAGCTAAGCTCTCAACCAGGATGACTTGGAACCTCCTGAGACATTTGCAACGTCTGGAGACAGCTTTGGTTGCCACAACTTGGTGGAGGAAGGGAAATGCAACTGATATCTGGGGGGTCGAGTTCAGGGTTGCTGCTGGACTTCCTTTAATGCACCGGACAGTCCACAGCAAAAAAGAATTACGTATTAGGTTGAGAAACTCTAGTTTAGAGACTGGTACATAGTAAATGCTAAGTAAAAGTTTGCTATTTCTGTTGTTACTATTATTAGATTATTATAGTTGGTTCATTTATTTTTCAAGCTAGTCCCTCCTTTAAATAATGTCACTGCAGTAGCACTGGAAGAAAGTATCTAAAATTCTTCCCAGGTTTTCAAGTGTGTATTATGATTCCCCAAACATCAGAACCTCCGCAGAGATACTTTTTATCTGTGGAAGTAAATAAGCAGCAAGTCCCTCTCCAGGTCGGTGAGCTCTGCACAGCAGGGGGCCCAGAGATGAAGCCCAGCTCCCTGCTCAGTAGTTCGGAACTAAAAACATCTACTTTCAAACCCGCACAGATAGGCTGCTTTTCCGAGTGATGGCTGTGGCGGAACTCATTAATAGAGACTGCTTGACTTTTTCCCTCCACAACTAACTAACAGATGTACTAAGTAGAACAAGAAGAATTAAGCATGCTCAGGCGCACAGGCCACCACCATCACCACCCCAGGGGGCGCGCAGAGGTCTTTTTGATGCTGTTTTATTCATGGGGTTTCTGCACGGAGCTGTCTGGGAATTCGCCAAGCAAGCCTGGCCGGCTGTGTGCAGGAATCCTTGGTCCTCTGAGGCAGCACAGGAGGAGCCCTGGAGCAGGGAAGGGACTGAGGCCCAGAGTGTCCTCCTGCGCAGAGATGACCAGGACTGCAGAAGGCGGTGCCTGCTCTGCATCTCGGTCATGCTGAGACGTTTTGTGTTATTTCAAAGCTGGCCTTGACATTATAAAAATCAGAAGCCACAAAGATATATGATGTAATTGAACTTTACTGTGTCTTTATTTGCCTTTTTGAAAAATTATCAAACATTGCAGGAAGTGATTTTTTCAGTGTTGTATGCTTAGGGCTCTTAATAGCTTGCCTTCCTTGAACCATAAGTAATGTACTCAATAGCAATAGCATTTAGAAAGCGGTCCTGTTGACTTAGAGCCTGAATAGTGTGCACTTTAAAAGTCTTTAACGTTGTTCCTTTTTCTTCAGGCTGTTAAAGCATCGTGAGCTTTCGAATATATATATCAGTCCTGTGCCCAACTCTAATTTGTTTATGTAACCGCTCTGTTCCCTTCTTTGTATTTCCATTTGGATACTTTGTTCTGGAGATGTACTGTTTTACATTTTAGACCCCAGATTCAAATAGCCAAAGATCTTTTTTGTTGTTGTTCGTTGATGACAGTGTTTGAAGGTTTCTGTCATTTGCATCTGACTCTCCTGTGGCACCGTTCATTCATTCCAGTGGCGGCGTGGGACATCTTAGCATGTGGCTGCCGTGGCCGCTCTGTGGACAGGCAGTCACTGGTGTTCAGGCACGCCTCGTACCACCAGGATGTCATGACTTCAAAAGCCTGGTTTTCGTGGGTCACAGACCCATTCAATCCAATTAATACAATTAAACCCAAACAATAGTAGCTACGCTGCTCCAAAGTATTTTCTCTCTTCGGCTAGCTTTGATGTGAACATCTGAGCTCCTGCCTGGCATGGACTCATCTGAAGTGATATGATTTCCAGAACTGCCTTCTACATAGTATCGACTATTTTCTTAAAATCTGAATGGCAATAAATTAATACTTAGCAGAATCCAGTGGGCGTACTTGAGAGCAGAATCCAATGAGCCGATTTCCATTGACTCAGAGTGAGATGAGTCCCACTGCGGGTTAATCGGACAAGAATTTCTTTCTAATTTAAAAGAGCGTGATTCTTTTCTTTATGAAGACTTCCTCTTGGCTTTAATGTATGTTAAATTTGTTTTCTCAATGCCAGACAAAACAGTGGAGGCGGAGCTATCACAAAAATTTGGTAAAAGCTTTAAATAGCTAAGTGTAATAATGTGCTGTTCTTCCCAGTGAACTGGTGTCTTTAGTTTCTGACTGCCGGAGCTTTAATCAAAACTATAATTCTTGGCCTACCCATAAGTGAGATTATAAAATCCATTAAAAAATTAATTTAGAGGAAAGTTAATTGCAGATTTAATGTGGTGTTTTGCAACTTGGTCAACCACATGGTTGAGCCTGATAAACAGTATTTTTCAAGAGCTGAAACATTCTGCTTGAGGAAATGGCTTTTCCTTGTCAGCTTTTATTCTTATATATTCATCTTGGGTTGTAGACAGACAGAAATGCTTTAGTGAATTCCACAATTTAGAAAAAAGTTCATTCATCTCCAGGAATAGAAAAGAAAGAGACTGAAGAAAATATTCTACCTACAAAGTCTTAAAACCTCAGTGATTTACTCTCCTTGAGTTACACTTTGGCCCTGCCAGAGGGTCTCCCTGTGGAGCACCGCAGCTCTGGCCCTGCCAGAGGGTCTCTCTGTAGAGCACCGCAGCTCTGGCCCTGCCAGAGGGTCTCCCTGTGGAGCACCGCAGCCCTGGCCCTGCCAGAGGGTCTCCCTGTGGAGCACCGCAGCTCTGGCCCTGCATGAGGGTCTCCCTGTGGAGCACCGCAGCTCTGGCCCTGCATGAGGGTCTCCCTGTGGAGCACCGCAGCCCTGGCCCTGCCAGAGGGTCTCCCTGTGGAGCACCGCAGCTCTGGCCCTGCATGAGGGTCTCCCTGTAGAGCACCGCAGCCCTGGCCCTGCCAGAGGGTCTCCCTGTGGAGCACCGCAGCTCTGGCCCTGCATGAGGGTCTCCCTGTGGAGCACCGCAGCTCTGGCCCTGCATGAGGGTCTCCCTGTGGAGCACCGCAGCTCTGGCCCTGCATGAGGGTCTCCCTGTGGAGCACCGCAGCTCTGGCCCTGCATGAGGGTCTCCCTGTGGAGCACCGCAGCTCTGGCCCTGCGTGAGGGTCTCCCTGTGGAGCACCGCAGCCCTGGCCCTGCCAGAGGGTCTCCCTGTGGAGCACCGCAGCTCTGGCCCTGCCAGAGGGTCTCCCTGTGGAGCACCGCAGCTCTGGCCCTGCATGAGGGTCTCCCTGTGGGAGCACCGCAGCCCTGGCCCTGCAGAGGGTCTCCCTGGAGATGGCAACCGGCGCTCTGGGCCCTGCATGAGGGTCTCCCTGTAGGAGCACCGCAGCTCCTGGCCTGCATGAGGGTCTCACCTGTGAGCACCGCAGCTCTGGCCCTGCCATGAGGGGTCTTCCCTGGGGGAGGCAACCGCAGCTCTGGCCCTGCCAGAGGGTCCCTGTGGAGCAACCAGACGCTCTGGCCGCTGCCAGTGAAGGGTCTCCTCCTGTGGAGCACCGCAGCTCTGGCCCGGCGGAATAAGGGTCTCCCTGTGGAGCACCGAGCTCTGGCCCTGCCAGAGGGTACTCCCTGTTGGAGCCACCGCAAGCTCTGGCCCTGCAGAGGGGTCGCCCTGTCGGAGCACCGCAGCCCGGGCCCGGCATGAGGGTCTCCCTGTGGAGCACCGCAGCGCTGGGCCCTGCATGAGGGTCTCCCTGTGAGCACCGCAGCTCTGGCCCTGCGTGAGGGTCTCCCTGTGGAGCACCGCAGCTCTGGCCCTGCGTGAGGGTCTCCCTGTGGAGCACCGCAGCTCTGGCCCTGCGTGAGGGTCTCCCTGTGGAGCACCGCAGCCCTGGCCCTGCATGAGGGTCTCCCTGTGGAGCACCGCAGCCAGTTCTTCTACTGCAGCTCCGCTTTCCCAGAGCCTCTAATCCTCCGCGGAGAAACCGTGCGGGATTTCCACTCCACAGGGTAGCTCTATTTCTAGGTTGTACTAAATGCTTCCTAATGATCTCTCCCAACTCCTTCAGTCATCCTAGAAGTTTTGTTAATTTTATTCCCCAAACTTCAGTCCTCACTTCTGACATTGGCAGGCAGTGAGTTGGCAGATTTAAGACCTTGCCTTGGGTCTCGTTCATTGGGCATTGGAAACCCTGTGATGCTGTGAGAGGCATTGGGTTAGGGGTGCATTCCCCAGGTCTGTGAACCCCCCTCACCCGCCGAGCCCCCTCTACGCACAGTGACCCAAAGCTCCCACTTACACACTGTGTCTTCTCAGTGCTCTGTGTCCTGCGGCCAAGGCGTGCAGCGGAGAAATGTGGGCTGTCAGATGGGAACACGCAGAGATGCCCGAGAGACCGAGTGCAGCCCGTACACCAGACCGGAGTCGGAGCGCGCCTGCCGAGCCCCGCTGTGCCCTCTCTATGCTTGGAGGGCAGAGGACTGGCAAGAGGTGAGTAGAGCCATGAAGTGGGCACCTGCCAGGCATTTTGCTCAACCCCTTGCTCTCATCACATCCGTCCTCTGTGAAGCTTTGAGGCACGGTGACGAGGTTGGCTTTGTCCCAGAGGTTTGCACTCAGAGGCAGGCAGCTCATTCCCACCGGGTGGGATGGCTCCTCGTTTCTGCACAATTCCTCTGTTTGCGTCCTTGAATGCTCCTAGTCTGGCTGCTTCCAGAGAAACTTTAACAGGCCTTAGGCCAAACGCATACAGAAAACGGTCACAGGATGAGGTCAGTGGACGAAATATTTTACATGTATGTATCCAGACGCGGCGTTCTGTGTTCGTACATTCAGCCACAGACACTCCGGCTGAGACTCCTGTATTCCTCCTCCATCCAGGACTTGGCTGTCAGGTAGAAGACAGGCACTCACTGGAAACTGGATTAATTAGTGAAGTGTTCCAACGTTAAAAAATCTGATGGAATCTGAAGAACTGCTCCATTGATGCAGAAATAGACAGGCTTGTTTTTTTTCCCCACTTAATGTGTGGTTAAAGAAAATGTTAATGTTTAACGCTAGTGCTCAGTTAAATAATATACTAAATGTCCCTGGAGACAAATCTGACTAGGAAGGTAAGACATTAGTAGGAGGTAACCTTTGTATCCAGAACAGGAGATTAGATTGTAGAAAAGGGGGGAAGAACTAGGAAGAAAAACCATGTCCACTGCCACGGGAATGAAATAGAAAATGCATGTTGTTATTCGCAATAGCCGAGACACGGAAACAGCCCAAGTGTCCGACAAATGATTAGCTAAAGAAGACGTAATACATATACAGGGGTGGGCAAAAGTACGTTTACAGCTGTATTACAAACAATACAATAATTAATAATAACACAAGAGTAAACTCTGTGTTTCACGTACTCACAACTGTAAACCTATTGCTCACCTCTGTATATACAATGGAATACTATTCAGCCTTTAAAAAGATGAAATATTGCCCTGGCTGGCATGGCTCAGTGGTTAGAGTGTCGGCCTGTGCACCGAAGGGTCTCAGGTTCAATTCCCAGTCAAAGACATATACCTGGGTTGCAAGTTTGATCCCCAGTCCTGGTCGGGGCACATGCTGAACACAACCAATCAATATTTCTCTCTCACATCAGTGTCTCTCTCCCCCTCCCTCCCTTCCACTCTCTCTCTCAAAAAAAAAAAAAAAAAATTAATGGAAAAAATATCCTCAGGTGAGGATTAACAACAACAACAAAAATGAACTATTATCATTTGTGACAACATGGTTAGAACTTGAGAGCATTTTGCTAAGTGAAATAAATCAGGTAGAAATGTACAAGAACCGTGTGATTTCACTCATGTGGAATATAAAACTGAAAACAACAAACGAATAAAACAAACAAAAAGCAAACTCATCTATACAGACAACAGAATGGTGGGAGTGGCTGAGGCAGGGTAAAGAGGGTCGATACATGGTGACAGAAAGAGACTAAACGTCAGGTGGTAAGCACACAATGCACCTGCAGATGCCAGATTATAAAGTTGTACACCTGGAATTTATATAATGCTATTAAGAGTTGTTATCCCAATAAATTTAATTAAATAAAAGAAAGCACATGCTGTAAAAAGTTCAAAGATATGGATAATAAGACAGAAATGTTCCTCCAGGAATAGTTTTCAGCACAGGGGGGAATCGTGCCCCACACTGTGCTCAGTACTTTATGTTCATCACCTCACTTAATCTTTCAACCTCCAGACCAAGTGGGTATTATTATTTTACCCCATTTTGCAGTCAAGAAAACTGAGGTTCGGAGAGCCAATGTCATTTGTTCAAGTGCCACATGTACCTAGCAACTGGAAGAAGCAAGACTCGAAGTTCATTCTCTTCAGCCATTACGAGATACTACACTGCCTCCTTTTTATTATTATTTTACATAAATACTGTGGCAGTGCTGCCTTTTTCCAGTTTACTGAGCTCTAAGTGACATATAACGTTGTATTTATCTTCAGTGAAAACATGATGATTTAATATATGTGTATATTAAAAAATAATTATCACAGTAAGTTTAGTTACTGTTAACAATACTGTGTTATAGTTAATATACATTACCTCACATATAAATTATTTTTCTTGTGGTAAGAAGTTTTAAATTTTAAATATATGATATGGTATTGTTAACTATAGTCCCCATGCTGCACATCACATCCCCAGGACTTATTTATCTTATAACTGAAGTTTACACTTTTTTAAAAAATTGATTTTTAGTGAGAGAGAGAAAAACATTGATTTGTTGTATGCATTCATTGGTTCATTCTTGTTTGTGCCCTGACCAGGGATCAAACCCACAACCTTGGCGTTTTGGGACAACACTCTAATCAGCAGAGCTACCTGGCCAGGGCTGAAGTCTATATATTTTGACCTGCTTCACCCATTCACCTGCTTCTGACCACCCCCCACCACCTGCCATCTCTGGCAACCACCAATCTGTTCTCTATATTTATAAGTTCAGTTTTGTTTTATTTTTAAAGATTCCACATATAAGTGAGATCATATAGTATTTGTCTTTCTCTGTCTGATTTATATCACCATAATGCCCTCAAGGTTCATCCATATTGTCACAGATGGTAGGATCTCCTTATTTTTCATGGCTGAATTATATTCCAATTTTCATGATCCATTAATCTGTTAAAGGACACTTAGTGGGCTTCCATATCTTAGCTATTGTAAATAATGCTACAGTGCACACGGGGGTGCATATATTTTTTTGAGTTAGTGATTTCTTTTCCTTTTAGTAAATACCCAGAAGTGGAATTGCTGGGTCATATGGTAGATCTTTTTTAAATTTTTTGAGGAACCTCCATACTGTTTTGCATAGTGAGTGCACCAATTCACACTCCTACCAGCAGTGAATGAGGGTTCCCCATCTCTACATCCTTGCAAACACTTGTTATTTCTTGTCTTATTGGTGATTGCCATTCCAACAGGTGTGAGGTGATATTTCACTGTGATTTTGATTAACATTTCCCTGATGATTAGTGATGTTGACCACCTTTTCATATATATGCCTTTTTTTGAGAAATGCCTATTCAGGTCCTTTGCTCATTTTTATTTTCAACTGTCCTACTTGTTTATTTTTGCTTTTGTTGCCTTTGGTTTTGTTGTCAATCCAAAAAATTATTGCCAAGACTGATGTCAAGAAACTTACCCCCTATGTTTTCTCCTAGGAGTTTTATGATTTCTGGTGTTATGTTCAAGTCTTTAATCCATTTTGCATTTATTTTTGTGTATGGTGTAAGATAGGGGTCCAGTTTCATTCTTTTGCATGTAGCTATCCGGTTTTCCTGACACCATTATTGAAGAGACTGTCCTTTCCTGTTTGTATAGTCTTGCCTTCTTTGCATAAATGAACTGATCATATATATATATATATATATATATATATATATATATATATATATGAGTTTATTTCTGGGTTCTCTATTCTATTCCATTGATCTGTGTGTCTTTTTTTAATGCCAATACCATACTGTTTTGATTACTGCAGTTTTGTAATATAGGTTGAAATCAGGAAGTATGATGCCTCCAGCTTTGTTCTTTTTTCTCAAGGTTGCCTTGGCAATTCGGGGGTCTTTTGTGGGTCAATTTCCATACAAATTTTAGGATTTAAAAAATTTTCTGTGAAAAATGCCTTTGTAATTTTGATAGGATGGCATGGAATCTGTAGATTGCTTTGGGTAGTGTGGACATTTTAACAATAGTAAGTCTTCCAGTCCCTGAGCACAGAATATCTTTTCCTTTATTTGTGTTTTCTTCAGTTTCTTTCATCAGTGTTTTATAGTTTTCAGTGTACTGATCTTCCACCTCCTTGAATAAATGTATTCCTAGTTGTTTTATTCTTTTTGATGTGATTGGAAATGGGATTGTTTTTTAGAACTGCAGTTTCAACATGTGTGGGGATGTAGCCTTCCAGCCCTGCCCTCCGCCCTCACCCACGCTCCCGACGGTTCCTTCGTGTGCGGCCATCTCCTTCCTCTGGACTCTCACCTCCTCGCTCACTCCGCTTCATTTTACCTGACACCTACTTGCAGCAGGCACGTGCCTTGACTTTGCTCCCATCTAGTGGCACCTCGACCTGGGGTCAGTGGACACCAGGGCACTGCCTCCGAGCCCACTGAACGGGATGCGCTGGGCTCCCCCACCCCACCCCGCTCCAGGAGCTTCCTTCCTCTTCGCAGCCTTGGCAGCCAGCTCAGAGCTCTTGTTTGCTTTTTGAGTGTGCGTTTCCCCCTTTTGCTTCCTCCCTATGACTATGAAAACTCACCTGTTTGTAGTTAAGATGTATTTCATGTCAGGCATATAGCAAATGGCACCCTCCTCTTTTTGAGAAAAAAGCCAGGCACCCACCTTGAGAAGCATCATCATCATGTTTACACAGCCGCACGCGTTGGGCACCACACAGCTCCGCGGGTGCTGTTCCCCGAGGCTGCAGTGTCAGGGGCGTCCCCTAGAGCTGCACCGAGCAGTGGCCCTAAACTGAGGATGATTTAAGAAGTCATGCATTGTACTGTTTATTAAACTATGGACCATGCACTAAGTGCAGAACCTCATTTAACCTTTTCCATACTTTCTAATGTAGTCATTAAATTTCTATCCTCACTTAAAGATGAGGAAGCTTGAGGCTTAGATAGATTAATTCATCCAAGGTCAAGCCTTTACCAAGTAGTAGGGCTGGGATTTGAAGCCCAGAAGCCTGACCTTTGAAGCATGTGCTCTGAATCTTTATGGTCTGCTGCCTTCCACGCACCTAAGGTGAATAATTTCATTTCCGTCTTAATGGCTTGTCCAACCTCTTCCTGCAAAGTTGGCATCAAAGTAGAATCCCCTTTGCTGGGTGACCACTTCCACCTGCTTTTAAAAATGAAATTCTTGGTCCAGATGGTTGATCAGACCTTAAGCCTTGGGGTGGGGGTGGGGGTCTTGATGATGTTGGAGCACCTCAC